TGTTGACCAGGATGGTCTCGATCTCTTGACCTCGTGATCCACCCGCCTCGGCCTCCCAAAGTGCTGGGATTACAGGCGTGAGCCACCGCGCCCGGCCCAGAATTTATGACTAAGAACCCAAAAGCAAATACAACAAAAACAAAGATAAAATGGGACCTAATTAAACTAAAAAGCTTCTGTACAGTGAAAGAAATAATCATCGGAGTAAACAGACAACCCACAGTATGGGAGAAAATATTTATAAACTATGCATCTGGCAAAGGACTGATATCTAGAATCTCTAAGGAACTCAAACAGAATCTCTAAGGAACTCAAACTCAAATCAGTAAGAAAAAAAATCTCATCAAAAAGTGGGTAAAGGACATGAATAGATATTCTTCAAAAGAAGATATGCAAATGGCCAACAAATATATGAAAAAATGCTCAACATCACTAATCATCAGGGAAATGCAAATTAAAACTACAATGAAATACTACCTTGCCCCTACAAGAATGGCCATTATTAAAAAGTAAAAAAAAATAGATGTTGGCATGGATATGGTAAAAAGGGAACATTTCTACACTGCTAAGAATGAAAATTAGTACAACCTTTGTGGATAACAGTATGGAGATTTCTTTTTCCTTTTTTTTTTTTTTTTTTTTTTTTTTTTTTTTTTTCTTTTTTTTTTTTTTTTTTTTTCTTTTTGAGACAGGGTCATTCTGTCGCCCAGGCTAAAGGGCAGTGGTATGATTTCGGCTCACTGCAACCTCTGCCTCTCGGGTTCAAGCAATTCTCTCGCCTCAACCTCCTGAGTACCTGGGACTACAGGCATTTGCCACCATGCTCAACTAATTTTTCTGTTTTTAGAAGAGACAGGATTTCACCATGTTCATTTCACCAGGCCAGGCTGGTCCGGAACTCGCAACATCAAGTGATCCATTTGCCTTTGTAGGGGTAGCCGAGAGAAAGGAGAATAGACCCAAAGTCAGGCAAGCAAGTTTTATTAACCTGCTGGGCAGCTCCATAATAATCAGAGGAGGCAGCCTTGAGCTTACAAAATGAGGGGTTTATATGGGTTGAGAGGGGCAGAAGCGGGTTTTAGGACTCAGGTAATCTATCTGCTGGTAACAGGCACAGAGATAGCTTGTTAACTTGTAACGGACCTACAATACATCATCCTATGACTTTTATGGTGGCAGTCTTTTAAAAAAAGAGAGAAACCAGGAGTGGTTTTTTTGTTTTTTGTTTTTTGTTTTTTTTTTCAACAGATATGTGTCAAACAGGGATTTACAAGTATGAATAACCAACATGTTTTCCCTGTCCTCCCTCGAGCTGCCCTGATGGCTGTAATCAGCCTTTGCTTC